TTAGAGAACATGTCATCTTGTTAGGATCGGTTCGTATTTTATAGGTATTAAGGCAAACTGACATCTATCGGAGGTGGTATGGCAAGAAGGTTTTTAAGGAAGATATCTTGTTAGGATCCTTTCGAATTAAGTCCTCATGGAAGCAAAAGTTCTCTTTGGTGTAGTTCATCTCGAATGTCCCCCTTATGAGCCCTCACGAAGCAAGGAAGCGATGGAGGAGGTGAATTGACAGGCTTGAAATTATATTTTTTTAATAGCAAGTATATACATAATCAACAATAACAATTTTTTCCAAAGTCTCAGTATGTTATTTGTCACCAATAGGTACAATTTTTATTTCTTTAAATGCAACATTTTTACCATTTTCTAATACAGCTATCAGAGAAAAAATGGTTAATTAACAAAATATAAGTCTTGTTTTTAAATTTAAATAAAACATATCAGTAGTATAATATTTAAAAATCTATTATAGTATTTTCCAAATCAATTTTAAAGTACATGAGAACACATTCTACAATGTCTATTCAACTCCTCCTAGGACTTTTTATGAAGAAGAAGGAGCTGTATATAAAAGGTATTTTTTTTTAAATTTATTATATTAAGTATTTGTTGGATTTTCGGGAGTGAAGTGATGGGGGCCCCTAGAAGAAACCAGACGAACACTGACTATTTAAAACAAAATATATTGTAAGAAAGCAGTAATGCAGTGTACTGTAAGTAGTTTCTATATAATTTGAGCTACATTATAAATATCTAATAATTTGTTTTATTTTTTAGGCCACAAAAGTTACCTAGTAGAATTAATTTTAACCATAAAATTTCCCTTTCTTTTTTATATACCCTTCTTGCAAGAATTTGAAGATGAGATGACACCGCAAAGCATCATCAATAAAAAAAGAAGTATGTGTATTTATGTGATTAATTTAAAATTATAATACTTAATGATATGATCTCTTTTTTTAAATAATTGTAGATCTACACTAACTGAATAAAAAATCAGACATATACAAATTGTTCAAAATAAGTAGAAGATTGTAGGGACGATACCCAGTCCCTAATTTCTGGAGTCCCTGATGGCTTTTGATTCTTGAAGACATATTAATGTCTAGAAAACTTATGTTAATCTTGTAAGTTTATAATTTATAACTATATATTGTATGTTAAAAAAAATAAAATCACACTCGAGTATCCAATAATTAAAATGTCATAAAATCTTACAAAACATGTCATTAATTCGTAAAAACATAAAAATCTGCATTGATCAAAAATCGTTTCGAAACAAGAGTTTGAAAAATGCATTTTCTTAAAAAACTGGCGCATTTAAACCTTTAATTGTGTACATATTCTGAAAGAACATACATTTTTCTATAAATACTGAAATTTTCAAAATTTTACTAATACGTTTACTATTTTTCTAGAAGCCTTCTTATGACCATAACCGCGCTATGTCGAGTAGGGTCTCGTTGGATTCAGAGTCGTAAAAGGCATCGATTGGGAATAGTTTCAACCCTTTGCAACCCTTATTTTGGAGGGTAGTTTTTCTTTTTTTAAATTACTTTTTTCATTACCGTCCTGTACATAATATTGACTGAGTGTATGGGTGTTTAAATTAATTGTAAATCCTTACACGTAATTGAAAACGTAAGGAAATCACGGGGCTAACAGTGTAATTTGTGTCAAAATTTACATTGGGCTTTAAACTTAGAATTCATAGCGTCACTCCGGGAGATGAAGTTTCCAGATTATAATATCTTTTACGTCTAATATTAAAAATTACGATTTATATGGACACTAGGGGAACATTTTTTTTTACTTTGTTTTTAAATTAAGTTAGTAAAAGGGTAATTTGATTTCGACCACATGTTTTAATTCTCGTGTTATGTTGATATGAAAATCTCTTAAACCAAAATCAATTTATAAACTTAGCAATAAGTATCACAAGTGAATGTGTTAAATCGGATTTACATCCGAATAAATATTCTTTCTAAAAGATAAATTGAACGCCGTTAGCATGCATCCTCATTACCGAGTAAGCTGCCTTACCTTTGAATTGAGTTTTCAATGCCTGACGACTTATACTGGATCTAGTTGACGATATTTTATAAATTCGAACGCGGTTCGAATACTTCGAATATTAGTTATAGTAAAAGCTTATACACTCAGTTGCGAAAAAAACGCAACGGAGAAATTTTTGGGCAAATTTAAAGTGTTATATTTTTGTTATTTTTAGCCCTATTTTCATGATTTTTTTAGCAAGCTCTATATACTTATATCAACTTTAATTCGCGAACTCAGTTTTTATAAACTTTAGTATTTGACATATTATACAGGGTTAATCGGGGTGTTGTTTTTTTACCTTAACTTTAAAACACCCTGTGCAATAATTTTATGTGTAAATTTTCCTAAAATATAATTTTACGGCCAGAACCATGTCTCCTGAGCATTTTGTTTTTTTGATCATGTCAATACATGCCTTGGTTAATCTGTAATGGTGCGTTTAGACTTGGGCACGCACGCACTGATCCTCCGCGAATACTCAAGTGTAAACGGCTGTGCGCGCACGCTCACTCTGAATCTGTCTGTGCGCGAGCAGCCTCGAACGTGAGCCGTCTGGTGTCGGTTTTTGGTTCGTGCTCAAAGGGATTTTATGTGTGTGCGAACGCTCAGTTTGAACCAGGTGGATGACACTTCTTATGGGAGAACTGGCAATGGTTGAAAACTTGACTACAAGCGATTTTCTAGGAATCTTCCTTACCGATAAATTATTGACAAGAGTGACAGATAAAACGTTGACGTTCTTTCAGTATTCCAGTTCATCTCTTTTTCTTTCTAAAGTGTGCGTTGAAAGGAGACAAAAACAATTTTTGGTGACCCATAATTTGTTATTCGAACACCACTTTTCTCCTTGTCGGGTCGTTGACGTTGACTTGTCGCCATTTTATTTCTTTTGTTTACACGCTGCATTTTGCTTTGCAAATTTAATACATAAATTATTTAGGCAAATATATAGGTTTTTAATAAAACTCCTCGGACTAACGTGTAGGTAAGTGTTGATAATTTTTTTTTCATCTTAACATGCTCATTGTCGTTCTCCTGATTTTAGGTGACAGAAAAGGATCATCAAATCAAATTGAATTTTATATTTTCCTTCCTATTTATCCTTCCTAAATATCAACGAGATGAGCCATCGGAAGAAAGGGACCATAGTACAAAACAGAAAGGTGATCTTTTTTCTTTCCACTTCGGATATTGAAATTATTATATACTGTAGTCGTGTTCGGCATTATGCTCTGAGAAATATAGATAAACAAAGAACAACAGATATAAAGCATCCCAGAGGAAAAGAGAGGCAATACCTGTATGTACTCTCTCTGATATTTGTGAAAGTTACAGCAAAGTATTGTTGTAAATGTCATCTTTTTGATCGACCTGAAAACTTCGAGCAAAAAGATGACACTTTCAACAATACCCTGACAGATATCAGAGACGATACAGGTTTTTCCTCTCTTTTCCCCTGGAATACTTTTAATTTATTATTCTTTGTTTATCTAGATTTCTCAGAGCACTATGAACGAACTCAGCTTGTATGTTTGAAATAATCGTCCAGTTGGCTTAAAAATGATGATCGAAGACATTTCCCATATAATTTTACTTTCAAAATTATGATATATCTTTTATTTCTAAGCCATCTATGACGCCATTTTTTTCAGTTTTGTTATAATTAATTTTGTCTCTTGATCTACTTGTAACATTATTCTTTTAATTTTATTAATTTATTGTGGTGAAATTAATTTCTGTTGTATATTTGATATTGATATTAAACATATTTTTAAAAAATGGTGTATTTTTTGTGTTTTTGTGTATGTCATAATTAAAAATAAATGAAGAAATAAAATTTTTTATTTTTTAAACTTCCCGCCATGTGTGACAATTTAGTCCGTAGTTCCTACAAGCGAAATTGGGGGCGCTAGTAGCAGTAGACTTGTCAACAGTGTCAAATTTAAACGTCAATTTCACTTTCCAATATTTAGCAAGGCGCTCGCACTTCTTCTTGTGTATGTGTTTTGTGGTTTGAACCGGCAATTTGTTTTGTCTGCGTCCGTGCGTGCGTGTGTGATTTTTTTTCGTTTTCTTTATTAAAATTATGGAGTGGATCAATGAACCTTCGTTATTATTAATTGAAGAATATGAATAGTTGCCTATATTATGGGATGTTAAACATTCTTTGTATTATTAAAAATAAAAAAAAAACGCATGGCAAGATCTTGTAAATAAAATTATAATATCGAATATGTCGATATTAATGAAATTGCTATTCTAAAATTTGTATCTTTTGTTCGTAATTTTTGGTGTTATTAAATTTTGTAAATATTCAAAGTCGGGTCTGGTCATTCTTGTAAAGTTTTTGAACTGATCATAGCCCTCCTCAGACACTAAGTTGAGTATTACAGATGTTTTTTTAATATCGTTAGTTCTGCTATATTTATTAAAACTAGGACTGAATCGTTAGTTTTTAACGTTGTTTTTTTTTTAAATTTAGTATAGAGTATCTAATGCAGGCGTAATTTGACGTTACGACAACAGTCACCAAAACCATCTCGTCACATTAAAAAATTACATCAAAATGTAATGACAATTGAAAAAATTGCATATTGATCGTGATCACTTCATTTCGCTCTTAAAAATTAACCAAAGCATGTATCGGCATGAATCAAAAAACAAAAGGCCCAGGAATAATGGTTCTGACCGTAAAATTATATTTTAGAAAAATTTACACACGAAATTATTACACAGGGTGTAAAGTTAGGGTAAAAAAACAACCCCCCGATTAACCCTGTTTAATATGCGAAATACTAAACTTTATAAAAAACTTTTTAATAGGGCTAAAAATAACAAAAAATATAACACTTTAAATTTGACCACAAACTCCGTTGCGTTTTTTTTTGCATATGAGTGTATTTTTTTGCTAAATTTAAAATATTTTAATTGGATCTACATACCTGTGACAGTTTTCCACCACTAACTTGCCAAACTTTCAGCGACATATCTTTCGAGCCTGTGACAATGTGCTGAGAATCTGTAGTCAAAACGAAGCAAGTTATTTCTTCTGAATGTGTTACAGTGTATCGTTCGTCATCTTTTACTAAAGACCATATTTTTAAAGTCGTGTCGCCGTTTGTAGCAACAGCATATTTCATGTTTGTCGTTGTTTTGACGCATTCGCTTGGTCCAGAGTACGACTGAAGCACCGTCCCATTGTCGGCATGCCAAATATAAATTGTATCGTTAATATCACTAGAAATAATTCTGCTAGAGTCCATGAGGACGAATACTGCGGTTATTGATGTCTGGTGTCTCTGAAAAAAAAAACATGTGGATAATTTAAATTAGTAAACACATCTTGTGTTTTTTTTCTTTGTTACGTAGAAAAACTAACCAATTTTGTCTATCCAGGCGAGCAAATGAGATTTTGGGAGGCTAGTAAGAACCGATCTCCCAGAAGTCATTTAAATTTTAGATGCGAGGGGTCTCTAAAAGCTTACATCTGTTGTTTCCAAAATTGATCTTTCTTCTATTTCGAGTTTGATTTCTTTAAGGGCTTCTGCCTAATTTAGTAAAGCGGCCCTCTCTGGTTTTTCTTTTTGTTCAACTTTTGTCTATCATTAATAAAGTTACTGTTTGTTTTGTTTTATCGAAAATTCAATAATTTTTGAAGGTACCCGTATTTTAATCTAATATTTCTAATAAAAAAAACCAGCGTGGAATCAAAAAACGTTTTAAATTAAAAATAACTAAACGCTGGCCGATACAGATAGAATTTCGAGCGTTTGTTTTAAAATATCAATTAAAGAACAGACCTTTGTTGTTTATTGAATTGAATCGTTTGGAATTTGTTCTGTGCAAATATCGGAAATTCAGTTTTGTAAAGTTAATTAAACAAGCTCGGATACAGGGGGTGAAATACTTACCAAACCAAACTGTATTCCGGAAATTTCGGCAGCATATTCTGTAGATATAAATAAGTAAAAAAGTTCGTATAAATGTATGTCCTAAAATGATTAGTTTCAGAGTTTCAAGTAACGTCAATATTTAGATGATGTGTCTGGGAGTTTTTTGACACGAAAAACTGGATTTTGATCTCAATATGACTCCTATATAGAAGGCGCCACCTACATGCGTTTTAACTGTTTTGAAGAGTAATAACTTTTTGTCCGTACCTGTATAAAACTACTGGGTAAAAAAATAGACATTTCCGTTATTTTTTACGTATAAAATGTCTCTTGGTAAAAATCGCTACGAGCAATTGTTCTCAAGATATTTAGAATGGAAATAGTCAATACATGTCATTATTGACAAAAAATAAACAAGTCGAGTAGATAGTTATTTGACTGAAATTATAAATTTGGGAACTTTTTATTGTTTTAAATTAATTATAAACTTTTTGCATAAAAACATTTCAAATTTATGATTTCAGTCTAATAATTATTTAGTCAACATCGTTATTTAGTCAACATCAATGACAACCGGTATTGATAATTTCGATTCCAAATATCTCGTGAACTCGCAGAAATGTTTACCAAAAGTCCCTTTTTATGTAAAAAACGCCGTAAAAGTATATATTTTTACTCAGTAGTTTTATACAGGTACGGACGAAAAGTATTACTCTTTAAACCAGTTAAAAAATAAGTAGGGGTGTCCTCTACAAGTAGGAGTCATATTGACATCAAAATCAGATTTCTCATGTCAAAAAACTCCCAGAGACCAATTTTTATCCAAATATTGACGTTACTTCAGAAATGATTTGGAAAAAATCGAAATAAAAATGAAACTTCTACACTACACCCTGTATCTCCGAAACTAATAGGAACTTTTTTACTTATTTTTATCTGCAGAATATGCTGCCGAAGTTTCCGGAGTACAGTTCAGACCACCCTGTTTATTCTCTCTTTTACTTACCGAAAACGTCAATACAAGTGTTCCTAATGTCAATCCCCAAACTTTGACTGTTTTGTCTTCAGACCCTGATGCAACGAATAATGCACTGGGTGCAAAGCTCACTGCTGTAACAGGTCCCGTATGGCCGTTCAGTGTCAGTACTAATTCCTGATTATTTAACTGCCATACGTTCAATAAATTGTCTGACGCCCCGGTCACTGACAACTGACCATCTCGGGAAATGTCCAAGCAAGATATAAAACCACTATGGGCTGTCAAGTGATGATGTGTCTTTTTCTTTAATTTTAAGAAACTCTTTATGTGGTCGGTGCTTCGAAAAGGGTAGAACAATATTCGATTACCTCCTGAAAAAAATCCAAATGCGATTAAACGTCGAAAAACAAATATAAAGCATGAAATTAAAGAGGTTAAAGCTAGGAATTTTCTTCAGATTGGTATAAATCGTGTTAAATCATATCTCACTGAAGTTTACAATTCAATTTGTATTATAATTTACTTCGGGTTTCTATTTCTAAGCATTTAACGAGAAGTTTTGGCCGAGTTTTATAATTTGTAAATATGATTTTAATCGTTTTCAAAGTGGAAATTATGACTTTCTTGATATAAAATCTTTTAAAAATATTATTCCTGACAGTTATTTAGTTTTCGGTGACAACTAGGTTTTTATTAGCATTTTTGATTAAAAATTTAAAAGTAACTCTTCTATTTTTTTCTGGTTCAGTTTTGAATACAAAGTCACTAAAAAAATAGGAACTTATATGAATTTTATCGTAAACCTTACTAGGAAAAAATATGTAAGTGAAAAGAGAATTATTAGAAACGACTTAAGTAAAAGCCTTGTATATATATTTTTAAAGCAGATCAACCTAAGACGTTTATGGACTAAGACTACTAGATGGCAGGACCGGTTTCCCTCCAGAAATATTTTTTTTGTTACTCTGAATTTTGAAGCTACCAATAAAAACAGAGAAAATAAAAATCGATAATTTTCGGACTGTGCCAATTGGTTACTAATCGACCAGATACTTTTTATCTATTAGATATGCTATAAAAGCTGGCAATTATACAATTCGACCATTGTAAATACCCGACAAATTCTTCAAGGCCGACAAGGCCGATGCTTCTCACTGATAAGAAATAAAAATGTTTGTTCAGATAATTTTCCAGGTATTTTTTCTTTCTGAATGCACATTTTAAAGTATTTAATATTCTTTGTCCCCTTGACCTATTATCCTGGTCGCACGTATGGAAGTTCTGTTCCTTCTAGTTTTAGAAAATGTTCTTATTTCTTTTTTCTTTGCAGTTGTAGTTGTAGTGTAAAATTAGATTAATTTATTAAGTTTAATTAAAGTGTTTAGTGTAGCATGTTAGTGTAGCCTACCAAAAATAGTTTAGTAGTGTTTTTATAGTTTATTTTGTAGTTAAGTAGTAGGTGAAGGGATAATTTTGTTATTTTTTCTTTTTATTTGATAAATTAGTAAGTTTGATAATTTGTTCAGTGTAGAATACAAGAATAAGTAGTTGTGTAGTGTTTTAAGAGATTATATTCGTTTATTTTGTAGTTGAGTAGTAGGTGAAGGGGTATTTGGGTACTTCTTCTTTTTGTTTTTCTTGTAATAATTGTAGTAGTTCTATTAAGTATTGTGATAGATACACAATATCTTCCTTCAACTTCGTTGAATAGTGCGTTATCATATAATCTTGGTTTTCTGGTAGCAGAATATACGAAAAAAAAATCTGATCAAATTTATTTGAAATTAAATTAATCTAGCCTTATTAATCAAATTAAACTAGTCAAATAATAACAATAGTTAGGTTCAAAATATTATACAGGGGGAGTTTCCTACGATGTTCTCTATGGGCATCTCGGAAACTACTGGAGATAGAGAGTCGGTTAATGGGGAAAGAATTGCAGTTTTGTGGGGTCATAAATATGCGCCTTTCGGATTTTTCGGAGAAGTTCAAGGCTTATTAGATATTTCGAAAAAAACAAATTTTTGACTCCGCCCCGAAAGGTTCACGATTTGTCCTCCAGTTAGCAGCACATTTTGTCTAGTCGGTTGACCAACTTTAAGAATATATAAACAAGGGTAAAAGTAAAAGAAAAATAAATAAAGAAAAATCTAGATTTATTTATGTCCATTGCTGTATATCGAATCTGGCAGCGTCTTAAGAGTTTGAGCCAGGTTGATTCGAAGGTTATACAATGGGGTTCTGATAAAAGGCCATTACTGATCTCTGGATAGCATCAGGTCCAGAATTTTAAATAAAGCCAAGAAAATTATCAGCTTTCGTCTCGTGATTCGGGGGAATTCTCTGTTTTTTCTTCCTTTCCGTTGTTTTGTCCGAGCAAAAAAAAAACAATTTGGGTTGGCGCAGTAAATTAGAAAGTGGGAAATATCACCAGAGCGTAATGCTGGGGGTGGGGAATGGATTTTGGAATTGGAAACAGAGAAAGAAAATATTTTAATTTTTTTATTACTCGGTATTTTTATGAGACGAATAATTTAGATACCAGAATATAATAAAAAATTCTCTTTCTAACGTTAATATGATAAATAGTCCGGAGTAGTAAATACGGCGTTTAATATTCTACTAACCGATCAAACTTTATAAGGGATAACCTTGAATTAAAAGGTTTTCGTAAGTTTTTTCTTTTCAAACAAGTCTGTAAACTTTGTTACACCTTTCAAATAGTTTTTTTTCTTTTTGCTCAGTTTAACTAAATAACTATTTGACCTCTTGAATTTTTTCTTTTCTATTTTTTTTACGCTGGATTAGATCAATCAAATGAATAATTCTTTTTGTCGAATACCGTATTTTCTCCACGTATTTTACCCTAAAATTTACATAAAAAAATATAGAAATAAACATGGAATATCCGATAGAAATACGTCATGTTTATCAGGATACGGGGCGAGGGTGACAAGAGCATTTTTTTTTTGGTTTTATTTGAAGGTGGACAGTATATAAAGGGACCATATTTTCCACTTATAATTCCAGACACACTCCGAAACGCCTACAATCTTTCTCAGGAATTTTTTAATATGTCAGGTATCTCTCATCCATCCATCTTTTTATCTCTTAATATTTTGTTCTTGTTATACAAGGTAATATTTATATATTACAAAAAAAAAAGAAATAAAAGAGGATTTTTTAATCTAATCTAATATAAATAAATGTATTGCACTTTGATTTTTTGATTTTAATAAAGATAATTGAAAAATAATCATATACAGAAAGGTTAAGATAATTGTTATCACGAGTAATAATTGTTAGTTGAAAGTTTTACTTCCTATAATGTAATTTTAACAGAACATCAAAGGTTTATAATAGACCGTATCTGTAAAAAAACTAAAGTATTTTTGAGTAGTTGTATTTAGATATTTTAAATATTTTTTTTGTTTCTTTCCTTTGACGATGAGATGATGTATACCTTCTATTGTACTTAGACAATACAATCAACGCAGTGGTGTTTTCAACAAAAAATGACTTAATAAAAAAAATTATAAAATTATTTTTTTATTATTTTTTATTTTTTTAATAATTTCTGTAAATTTTCTTCCAGCGGTGAAAATCTTTTTATGAATTATTATGGTGAATTATTTCCAAGAAGATATAAATAGTTAAATATAGCTTTAGCTGGTTACATACGTAACACATATACACTCAGATGAAAAAAAAACGCAACGGATAAATTTTTGGTCAAATTGGCAAGCTCTATACCGGGTGCGTCTCAAAAGTGGCTCACCCCCTATAACTTTTTTATTTTTTCAGATAAAACAACGATATTTGGTATGTTAGTATATGACATAAATTGGGATTGATTGACGTATTCAATTGTTTTCGGTCACTTCCGGTTTCACCGGAAATGACTACAGCTTTTGATTTTTAAATGGCACCCTCGGTATTTTTTTACTTTATTCGATAGAAAATGACACTCTGAATCGAATGACATATCATATGTCAGCTTTTGACATTTTGGCATATGGTTTATAAGTGAGTAGAAGTATCTTCTAAAAGTGTGTGGTATCAAATTATTCGTAAAAAATGCTTTTTCCAAATATGCTAATGAGACACTCTCGTTCCATTTGAAAAAAAATGAGATATGATTAAAAATACGATTTGGGCATCTTTTAACCGGCCTGGACAAGGCACTAATAACATTAAACGATCAAATCTATTTCTCCAAGGCTCCTTGATTAAAAATTAGTGTTTTTAACACAGCCATGGCACCCTAGAAATTTAAAATAGAATTTGTTTTTGAGTGACTATGTCAAAAATTGACATATGATATGTCATTCGATTCAGAATGTCATTTTCTATCGAATACAGTAAAAAAAACCGAGGGTGTCATTTAAAATCAAAACTTGTAGTCATTTCCGGTGAAACCGGAAGTGACCGAAAACAATTGAATACGTCAGTCAATCCCAATTTATATCATATACTAACATACTAAATATTGTTGTTTTATCTGAAAAAATAAAAAAATTATAGGGGTGAGCCACTTTTGAGACGCACCCGGTATAATTATATCAACTTTAATTCGTAAACTCGGTTTTTTATAAATTTTAGTATTTGGCATATTATACAGGGATAATCGAGGGGTTGTTTTTTTGCCCTAACTGAAATAAAAATAGGTCTAAACATAACAAAAATATAACACTTTAAATTTTACCAAAAATTTCTCCGTTGCGTTGTTTTTGCATCTGAGTCTATAAACAATTTTTTTTCTTACCTGCTGTGAGTAGAAAATCATCCCTGTCAGTTACTTTAACTGAAGAAACCTCCCCAGTTTGACCAGACAGGGTTTTAATTAATTTTGCACTGTGAATATCGTAAATATAGACTTTTTTGTCTGAACATCCCATCACAATTCGACAACTATCTTGAGTTATACACAGTGATCGTACCTGTGAATAAACCAGAACAAGACATTACTTATTTATTTAAAAATTGTTATTATATAATTATTATTAAATTAAAAAACGATAGACACAAGATAGTTTCTTTACAGTTTTACCCTATTTCCTTGTGTGGAACTTTTTTACTTAAGTTCGAACGGCATTTAAGTTTTTATCTTGAAAATTTTGACTTTTACAACCCACATCAATTTTACCAAAGTGGGTAGATATGGGTCTTTATGACCTTTCAACTAACACATCAGGAAATAGGGTTGCCATTTGAAATTTTAGGAAAGGTACAGCTGAGGCAGTGAAAGTGTGAGATATAAAATTTAATAAATGATGCCTGGAAATTGTATTTTTCATGTATTAAATTTCATAATTTATTAAAACGCGTTTGTATATGAAGAATAGCTTCGAATTCAAATCGGAATATCTAAAATAGGATTTTTAATATTTAAAAAAGTTTTATATTATTGAATGAAATTCGAATATACGCTTTTTAAGTGTTATTAAAACAAGTCTGTACCAATATTCGTGAACTCCATTTACTATTTTTCATCAAATTTCTAAGAACTTTGAGACTCGGAATTTACATATATATTTTTATATTAACACGGATTTTTTTTTTAATATTTAAGCCGCACTTTTTCTAACGACTCGTTGATTTCCAGGTGTATCGATAAAAATATAATAAACTGTCATAAAAAAAACAGAGGTAGAAGCAAAAACGGGAAATCCCTTTATTTCGGACAATACGTTTTGCGTTTCCATCGGCATTCAATTTGTTTGTTTTTACAAGTATATATCGATGCAACATTTATAGGAAAACAAATATTCAAATGAAATGAAAATACGCCAAAACCCATTATCCCAATGTGAATGAATTTATTGCTACTATATTTTCCCACATCCGTACTTTCGTATTTCTTTAGAATACGGCTTGATTATTTTGTTTATTATTAAAGTCACGTGATTTATACAGGGTGTCCCAGAAATAAGCGCAAGTATTTTAAGGGTTCGATCTGGCCAAAAGAATCATATTTTCTCTTTACTATTTTTAAAACATATTAATAAGATTCGAGTTATTTTACTTTGAAAATTTAAAAATAATGTCAACATTTTGAGAGCCGCCGGCTGTAGTCGATAATCAACCGAAAATACCAAGCAATTACCAGATTTTTTGTTTCTGGGGTCGAATTATATTACAAGTTAAAATACTTACACTTATTTCTGAGTAGGCATGGGGACACTTGAGCCCAAGGTCAGCCCATATTTTTCCCTAAATTTAGGGAAAAATTTTGGGCTCAAGTGCCCCCATGCATGTAAATCTTATAACATGGGTTATATGTAAATTCCCTAAATCTACTGATTTTTAGATTTGGCAACGTCGCATTTCTCTAAACACACGGCAAGTGATGCCGTGTGTTTTAGAAGATTTACATGCATTGGGGCACTTGAGCCCAAAATTTTTCCCTAAATTTAGGGAAAAATATGGGCTGACCTTGGGCTCAAGTGTCCCCATGCCTACTTTTCTGGGATACCCTGTATTTATAAGTAATTTTAATAGTTAGGATATTGTTCTTGGTTGATTTTAAAGATTCTTACCTTTGCTTTGTGTTCTAAAATAATTGTGTGAACATCCGTTCCAGTTGCTACAGTTTTGATGTAGACTTTGTTATCCTTGCAACAAGCTACTAGCCAAATGCAATCCATGGATACGTCTAGCATTTGAACTGGAGAGGTTATCATTATGGTGTTTAGCAAACTGTAATTGTTTAATGACCATAGACAAACTTTTCCATCTTTACTGCCAGAAACCATTATGTCACCATGAGATGTCACCTACCATAGACATGTATAAAAGCAACTAAGCATTGATTTGTCTTGACCCAACAAAAAATGTTATGTTAAAAACATTAGACGGTCATTTTTATTCAAAGCGAATTATTGATTCAGAAACATAAATAAAAGAGGTGTAGCGACCAAATCGTTATAATTTAATGAAATACTATAATCATTACATAATGATCATATATAATCTGCGTTAATAAACTTATTTAATAAATAAATTTAACAATTTTAATTATTTAATAAATAAAATTGTTATAATTTATTGAAATACTATAATCATTACATAGTAATCATATATAATCTTCGTTAATAATCTTATTTAATAAATTCAATAATTTTATTTTATTAATTTTAATTATTTAATAAATAAAAACGTTATAAATTAATGAAATACTATAATCATTATACCGGATGCGTCTCAAAAGTGGCTCACCCCCTATAACTTTTTTATTTTTTCAGATAAAAAAACGGGATTTGGTTTGTTAGTATATAACATAAATTAGGATTGAGTGACGTATTCAATTGTTTTTAGTCACTTCCTGTTTTACCGGAATTGACTACAACTTTTGATTTTTAAATGATACCCTCGGTGTTTTGTTGTTTTATTCGATAGATAATGACACTCTGAATAGAATGACATATTATATGTCAATTTTGGACATTTTCGAATATGGTTTATTTGAAATTGCAACCAAACGACAATTTGACTCGAAGTACCAAGTGTGTGGTACCAAATTACTCGTAAGAAAATGCTTTTTCCAAATATGCTAATGAGCCACCCTTGTTCCATTTGAAAAAATTGAGATATGATTAAAAATACGATTTGGGCATCTTTTAACCCGCCAGGATAAGACACGAAAAACATTAGACGATCAAATCTATTTTCCCAAGGCTCCTTAATTAAAAATTAGTGTTTTTAACACATCCATGGCACTCTAGATTGAAATTTAAAATTTAATTTTGATTTAAGCAAAAATGTCAAAAGTTGACATATTATGACATGTCATTCTATTCAGAATGTCATTTTCTATCGAATAAAGTAAAAAAATACCGAGGGTGCCATTTAAAAAGTTGTAGTCATTTCCGGTGAAACAGGAAGTGGCCGAAAAGAATTAAATACGTCCATCAATCCTAATTTATGTCATATTCTAACATACCAAATCTCGTTTTTTTATCTGATAAAATAAAAAAGTTATAGGGGTGAGCCACTTTTGAGACGCACCCGGTATAGCGATTCTCCACATACGTTCACCACATACGACACGGAGTATTGTAAAGCTAATGATGAGATTTTACAAATTCTGTTTACATTTGGAGTGATGAAGGGACTAGGTATGTTACAATTTAAAAATTCTTTTACAAGATACCAGAGTGTCCCAAATAGTAAAAAAAATATCAAAAGTTATATTTTTTAAATGGATTCCTTGTATATTAATAATTTAGTTTCTACGATTAAAATAGTTTGAAATTTGATTAAGATTTATTATACTTAACCTGGCGTTTTGAGAATAATTTCAATTTTGTGCTGCAGCAACAATTTTAAGGCTTCATTTCTCCAGTGGCTGGGGCCCTGTGGTGTTCTATTTTGGTAACGACCACTCCAGTGTACTAAATATTTACTGAAGTTTATCTACTGATCAGTTATTGTGCAGTGCAATAATAAAATAATACTACCGGTAGGTAAAAATGGTATAATACAATTTAATAGACAATTTAATTGTGCATCTGATTCTCCTAAAATATACAGGGCATTCATTTTAAATTAAAGAGAGTTATTGCCGTTTGAACCTAATAATTATTTAAAATAAATTTTTTAGACACTCTGTATAGGGTAGTATTATTTTTTATTATTGCAACACAATAACTGATCAATAAATAAACTTCAGTAAATATTTAGTATTAAAAACTTTGATACCCTTGGAGAAATGAAGCCTTAAAATTTTTACTGCAATTTCACAAAATTGAAAATATTTCAAAAACGGTAAGGTTTAAGTATAATAAACCTTAATCAAATTTACCTTTATTTTAACCGTAGAAACTAAAAATATAATAATATACAGGGTGTTCCATTTAAAAAAATACAACTTTGATATTTTTTACTTATTTGGGACACCCTGTATCTTGTAAAATTATTTTTAAATTGTACCTCTAATAGTCCTTCATCGAACCCAAAACCCGAAATTTGTAAAAATATAATCGTCTAGCTACAATACTCCGTGTCGTATGTGGTGAACAACCCTGTATATAATATTCGTTAATAAAGTTATTTAATAAAATAATGACGCCCTAGCAATTTTCTGTTTACATTTGGTGTGTACATCTTGGGTATGTTCGTTTTTCTCATTTTTGTTTTGTATTTTCGTAAGAAGCCTTAATTAATTAGGGTGATTCTTGAGAAATAATGTGGTGTTCTCTAATTGTTGAGTTTGAACTGTTAAATGTGTTTGCTAAACTACCTCATGGGAAGTATTTGTTGTTGGAAATTGCTCGTGCTGTAGCATACAATATTTACCTTTATAGCAGTAACAGGGCCCCTGTGGTGATCTATTTTGGTAACTACCCTCCCAGTGCCTAGGGAACTTATAATAATACTGCTGTCTTCACCCCCGCTTATAATGACGGAATTGTTCAGGGCGCTGGTGATACACAGTACCGGCGCTATATGCTCCGATATTTTTAACTTGAGATTTAATCCCTTCAAATCCCAAACTATTATGCTGATATCGTCTGATCCGGTTAGTAAATATTGGCTCTGCTTGGTAACTGCCATACAGTTTACTTTGTCCGCATGACCTAAAATTTCCATTATTTTTATTCAATTTTATCGGCAACTCTCGCAGTTTCAACGTCGAAAATTGCCCCAAGTTAAATTTGCTTAGTTTTCAATAAGAAAAATAGTTTTAATTGAATCTGCTTCGTTCCGTAAAGTGCTCAAACTCTTATTATTTCACTGTAATTTAGTCGACTGGTGTATCTAACGGAAATATTTAGTTTCTATAGGGCCGATTTTCCCAAAGGCTTTTATAGATAATTAGAGAGTTGATTTTTCTATTACAACATACAGTTAAAACAGAGTTCTGGCTTTTTTTCCCAACGACACGCGACGTACCCAAATAACCAATCGCCCCTAAACGAAAAATAAAAGAGTTTTTTTTTAATTCAATCTATAATATAAATAAATAATATTGCTGTAACGGTGAGTCTTTGGAGGTTTTCTTCTAGTGGCGATAAATTCAGAGCTTTTTTTTGAAGATACAGTTCAAAATCGAAATATCATTTGTTTTTATAACAATATCCGAATATTTTTTTCGAAAATCTCTTGAAATAACAATGTCTTGTTATTCATAGTCTGAAATTTTAACCAAAAATGAAATCACTCTAAGCAGGGTTGGGAAACGACGCGTAGAAAATTAATTTTCTACGTGTATGTAGAAAAGTGCGTAGAAAATGTAGAATATTAAGTAGAAAAGGTATAAATGTATCATTTTAATTTCTTGCTTTCTATTTCTAGTTTCTTCTGAATGTTTTATAATAATGATTATTGTAGTTTGCTGTTCTTACTTTCATTATGTTCGAGGGGGGGTTCTGTTTGGGGGGTTAACAGAATTACATAGAATTATTATAAAAAAATATCTCTAAGAAACATAATATAATGTTATAATGTGTAAAAATTCTTAGTTATTTTGATTGGAGTCAGCGTGGTTGAGATGAATTTCCTTTGCAAGCTTTAACACCAATTAGATTTGCAGTGTTCATTAATTCATGACCAAGTGAAAAATAAACCAATTCAAAGAGTAAAAGTAGCGGGAGATTATTCCGTTGACTTTAAAATGAACCTAATAGAGATGTCGAAAAACTTTCTTAATTCCCGACAAGAAGACGATGGCTTTCGAAATTTATGCTGCAATTTTTCAACTGGTCAACAGTCTTATTTGACTACATAAAGAGGTTTTTGTTCTGCATTTTTATAATCTTTCTTTTTACATAAAATTGAACCGATATTTTAGTTTTTTACGTCGTATTCCTTTATATTCATTGAAAAAAAATTGTTTTTCGACTACTGTTCTCTACTTATGCCTCTGAATTATTCAAATCTGATCGATATACGTTGCCCAAACAGTCTTGCTATATTATTTTCTTGAATAAGCTACCGAGCTTATTGAGGTGTTAATACACGTTAAACACACAGCATGGCTTGTTAGATTGGCTTGTCAATTAAGTCTACTCTGATTTAATGTTGACAACTGTTTGCCAGTCTATTACGGATTTGTATGCTACTGAAATTAAATACTTCGTTCCATGTAATTAGGCCTTAATTTGACTTGAAGTCGATTAGGGTTTTTGCTTCTAAAAAAATTGACGCAACGATTTGCTTGCGTCCACATAACGTTGCAGATAAAACTTAGCATGTGGACAGTAGACTAAGAAAAAATATTACCTTTTTTCTATACATATAGTCACGAAAGGTGTCGATTTGGTTACTTACTCACTAAAAGGTATAGAATAAGAAAATATAATCCATGGAAGTCTTAAGATAACAGTAATTCATATGGAAAACGTTTTATCCTTCATCAAAACTATCTAAAAAACAAGGGTCCAAAAAATTAATTTTCTCACAAAGCCAAGGTACCTAAACCTTCAAAGGTGTATATATTCTGAATCTGCATAAAATTTTTATAATTTTATGGCCATGATTACTATCTTTTTAAGGCCTTTGAAAATGTGAAAAAATAGCCAAAAATGGTCTTTTTGTTTACTTTATCCATACATATAGTCATGAAAATTGGCGAATTTCTTCATGTTACCGATTCTCTTAAAACTGTTATTTACTAATCAAAATGCGTAGAATAAGAAAATATAGGTCATTGTAGTCTCAAGAGAACAGTAATGATATAAGGGGATTTTTTTAACCATTATCAAAAACAACCCAAAAAGAATGGTTCAGTAAATTAAAATTCTCACAAAACCAAGGTACCTAAGCCTTTAAAAGATCGCGCACACTATACCTACACGGACCAGTACGGACCAGCACAGCACAAACCTGCATCCTGCATGACATCGCACACTTTACCGCCACAGACCAGCAACATAAGCGAGAGTTTCGAAAAAAGTACATTTGTCAAGGCTCAACTACTTCTATGTTGCACGCTAACATAGAAGTATTGAAAATGAGTAGTTCAGAGGAAGAAATTATTATTTTAGCCATGTTGTGTGAAGAAGAGGAGGAAGAGAAGGAAGCTAAGAAAAAAAAGAAGATTTTGGGTTCACCCTATAAATCAAAAGAGAAAGCAATATGGCGAATTTCATCATTTGTTTCCTGAATTAAAAAGATTCGAAGAAAAGTTTTTCCAATATTTTCGAATGTCACAAATCAAATTTGATTATTTTTTTTTGCTATCGACTCCCATATTGCATCTTTTCTTTCTTGGTCTCTATATATAAAATGCTTGGCTCGTATCGCACAGCTCTGAATACTTTTGTACCAGTAAAATAAGCTTTTTTTCATTCATATTTAAAACGATTTAAAGGTTCGAACAAAAATAAACGAAATCTAACCTACATCATGCAACTTGAGCCAGCTAGCGTACTCGAAATACTGACAAACCCTTCAATATTTGCATGTTTGGGAGGTGTGCTGGTTCGCCGGTGCGCACATTAGGTCGGACCAGCACGACCAGGCATAAATATTGCCGGTCATATTTGTCCCTGACCGACACGACCTATTTTGACGGTCGTGGCTTGTGGCGGTACGTGCTGGTACTGGTCTAGTGTGCTCTACTCTATTAAATAACACGGTCACCTTCACCGGTAGATTTTACTGGTCTGGTCCGTGCCGGTCCGTGCAGGTATAGTGTGCGCGATCTTTAAAGGTGTATATATTCTAAATCTACACAAAATTTCCTACGAACTCTGAAACATTCATAATTTTATGTTAAAGTGTACTATTTTTCTAAGCTCTTAAAAATAAGTTTCATACCAATCATAAAAATATATTTTCTGTATTTTTATTTTACTATATATGTTATATCGGGCAACCGTGTATTATTAACAATAAAATCTACTGACATTTCGCCTTTTTATTGGGGCAATGTATTAAAACAGTCATAATATTATTTTTGACAGTAAAAATGGTGAAAATGGCTCATGAAAATTGGTGGTTTTCGTCGTGTCACCGATTTGGTTAAAACTGATGTTATTTACTAACTAAAAGGCATAGAATAAGAAAATATAGTCCATGCTAGTCTTACGAGAACAGTAAGAGATACGGGGGACGTTTTATTCTTCATCAAAAATAGCTGAAAATAAGGGTCCAAAATAATAATTTTCTCACAAAACCTAGATAACTGAACTTTTAAAACTGTATATATTCCGAATCTACATAAAATTTCCTACAAATGCTGAAATTTTCATTATTTTATGGCTATGATTACTATTTTTCCAAAGACCTTTGAAAATGTGTAAAAAATAGGCAAAAATTGGCAAGTTTTTCGACTTATTTCCATATAGGTATGAAAATTGACGGTTTTCGTGGTGTCACCGATTTTGTTAAAACTGATGTTATTGACTAATTAAAAGTAGAATAAGAAAATATATGCCATGGTCGTCTTACGAGAAACAACGAACCAAGAAATTTATATTTTCTCACAAAGCCAAGGTACCTAAACCTGTAAAAATCTGCCCTTTTCACCTGCAACGTTTTGTCGACGCAGTCAAATCTTACGATAAGTTGTTGCGTCTGGACCACGCTTAAGGAAAATCTAATTTGAGAAAAATCTACAAAATAAATATTCTACCTTTTTCCGCAACTGACATTTTTTAAAATGTTTCATAGTTATTTCGAAATAAACAGGAATAATTGAGTTTTCAATTGTTAAATCTAGGAATGAGACATTCGAGGGCACATATTTCTAGTGGATAGATACGTTGGAGGCATTCAAGTAAAAAAATAATTGCCCAGCTTTTCATTCGTTCTCTTAGGTTTATTTTTATTTGACGTTCGAATATATTCTGCTAACAAAACCTGAATTCTGATCTCTTTCTTAAATGTTATTTATTTACGATTTTATTTGTTGATCTTGTTTGAGTGGAGCAGATTGTTAATTCTATTTTTACTAATCCAGAAAATCATTAACTTACCTTTAAACACATGAACTAACTGATTCGTCATAATGTGCCATAGTTGTGGATCTGTATCAACTACAACGACTACATGTTGACCGTTTGGAGTGCATTCAATTAGTCTAACATCTGGCGTAGTCATTATTTTTGATTGTGTCGGTAGAGGCGGTTGTAACCAATCGTTTAACGGAACTACTAACGGAAGGGTGAAACCGTCGCACCATGCCATCGCCGACGTTACTAAGTCGCTCATTAATCCACCACCTTTCTCTGTTACAGGCCTTAGCCATGATATAAGCTTAAAAAGACCAAAAGGTATTTTTCATAATCTGTCAACATATGATGGCCAATTCATTTTCTAGAAGAATACACATGAGAGCTAAAACTTCAAAAATTATTATGAATCCAGTGACGTAATACATTGACCGGTGTTAAAAATGCAATACAACATTGTCCAATAAATGGCCGTGTTTACATTGGGTCTAGACATACTTGTTAATGGTGCACCCACACTGATCTGCATAGAAGCAACTCATAAAATAACCCATTAATGTTTTTATTGCACATCAACATTGTATCCGTCCAGTAGAATAGAAATATTTTTGTTAGCGCCATTTCTTTAATATGTATACGTGTGTTTTATAATTGAGATAAAACAAAATTTAAATTTGTTCTATAAGAGACTACGTACAAAATATAACAATATGCGAGGTACAACTCGAAATTTTTGATATAATCATATGCTTTGTGTTCGCTGGAAAACATTCATGCATATTTAAATTACTTCTTTGCGTATATGTATATATTTGGCAGAAATTTAATAACAAGCAAATATGTTTTATTCAAATGCATATATATTTTTATGTGTACGCAGTTATACATCAATTAATGTGTTATATTAAATATAGTGTCAACAGAAGATAAAATAAAGGAAATTATAGAATGAATGATACTAAAACTCGCGTTAACTAAATTACGTGGTACTTAATAAGTGCTTAGTAATATTACTTTTTTCTCCAATGCGTTTGAAAATTATTAGAAAAATATAAAGTGTAATTCTTGCAAAGTTTTCTAAAAATATGATCCATTATAAAGAAACCATTCAGTTACTTAATTCTTTTATAAATTGTCAGTAAACAAACGATGCATTCAGCGCATGTAACTCGTAGGGATTGAATGTTGAGAGCAAATACTTTTGTCTTGAAAAATAAATTCTATTTTTCTCGGAACTAAAAATGAAACGTTTAGTACAAATGTAGAAAATATTATTTTCTATGGACGTAAATAAAATCTGAATTTATTTGAAAAATGATTTGTTGGAATTAAACATTGGTTAACTGAATTTTATCAGGCTTATAAGTTATTAATAATTCGCAACGTTATAAAACAATATTGCGTAAATTAATATTTAATAAAGTTTGATATGGGGGGGGGGCTAAGCAAATAACTGTATAATAAACCAAACCAATATACACGATAATAATAATAAAATTTGATATCTCATAATTAGGTAATAAAAGGGATGGTTAATTAAACCCTATTCATAATACATTGAAATAGTATCGAGCAAAATTTAATAACGTTAAATAAAATAAATTAATTTTAGATATAAACTATCATTATCAAACCTACTAATCAACTAGGTATCTGTATTTTTTTATTAAGCTTAACGATTTATTTTTGGGCACTACTTATGGTATTGAAATTTAGCCCTTTGCGTTTTAGGGACTTTTAAGCTTTTCGTTTGTCATCTCTTATTTATACATAATGCCCAGGAGTGGGCTTTACAAGCTTAGTGATTTTTAAATCCGTTTTTTCGTTGAGTAAAACTCTTTAATGTGATTATTTTTGTTTTCATTTCGAATGCCTCAAAGGACACCCTGGAGCGGTACGAACAATTGTTTGCGGAAGATCCATTCAGCGATCAAATCATCACCTGCGGAACAGCTTTAATGACAGCTCTCAGCGAGGCACGTTAGAAGAAATGGATAGAAACCCTGGATAGAATGGACATGTCTCATAGTAGTAAAATAGCTTGGAATCTAATCAAGAAACTGGATGGTGACCCAAAGCTAAGCAAGGCCCCTGCCAATGTAACACCCAATCATGTGGCCAACCAAATCCTTCTAAATGGCAAATTCAACTCCAAACGCCAGAAAACCAAAATCAAACGCATAATACCAACTGAAAACACCAACTTCCAGAAATCATTTACCATGAAAGAGTTGAACAATGGTATAAATACCATGAAGAATGGAAAAGCCGCTGGGATTGACGATATGTGCGTGGAACAGATCAAAAATGTCGGTCCTGGAACCAAAGAATGGATACTTCAACTTTTCAACGTATGTCGCGAAACCTTTCAAATTCTAAAACTGTGGCGGAAGTCAAAAGCTCTCCTTAAACCCGGAAAAATCCAGAGTCTCCGAAAAGCTACCGACCCATATCCCTCCTTTGCCATCTGTTTAAGCTCTACGAAAGACTAATCCTCTACAGAATAGAGAAGACCGTCGATTCAAAGCTGATTCCACAACAGGCAGGATTCAGACCTGGAAAGCACCAGTCAAATCCTCGCATTGACAGAACATATCGAGGAGGGTTTTGAGAATAAACACATCACAGGGCTGGCCCTAGTCGGCCTAAGTTCCGCCTATGACACGGTAAACCACAAGATATTACTGCATAAAGCCAATGAGACCTTGAAAGATTACCACCTAGTCAAGATACTCGAATCCTTGCTCTAAAACGCAGTTTTTCGTGACGCTCGAGGGCAAAAAGAGTCGATGGCGAAACCAGAAGAATGGGTTGGCACAAGGGAGCGTGCTGGTACCAATTCTTTTCAACATATATACAAATGACCAACCTATTCCAGATAACACTAGAACCTTTGCATATGCAGATGACCTAGCAATAACAGTTGAAGGCAATGGTTCGAAGATATCGAGGAGAAACTAGAAAGCGCCCTAAAAACAAAGTCAACCTATTACAAAAAGAATTCTTTAAAACCCAACCCCACCAAAACTAAAGTGAGTGCATTCCACCTTAATTCGCGACAGGCGACCCGCAGACTTAATGTTACATGGGACGGGTCACTACTAGAACACACAGATAAGCCTACCTATCTTGGCGTCGTGCTGGACAGAACATTGACTTATAAATATCACTGCGAAAAAACACGCAAAATAGAAACACGAAATTCCCTTATAAGGAAGCTGACCAATAGTAAATGGGGAGCCAAAAAATTAATTATTATTAGAAAATACTGTTACGTTAGCCGCATCGGCTGCCGACCGGGTCTCAATAAACTATCTTTCTCGCGCTTATAGATACTCATAAGACTTTCTTATCGCGCTCATTTAAAATATTTATTCGCGTCTGGCAAGTATTACATCCCACTGAATTCGTCTGGCAATTAACACATATTTTTTAATATCATCTAATAAACACGCTGTAAAAATTTTAGAATGCCTAAGTATGTTTTCCAGGTATAATAATTAAACATATTTGGAATGGTCTGGTTACACTTTAAACCCGAAAAAAAAGTCTGGCATACTTATTTCTAGGTTAAATAGATGCTAAAATTTAAGAATAAACAAATTTCAAGTTGCCTAAAGAATGTTTTTTGGATTTATTTTTTCGCAAATGTTATGGGTTGCGCAGTAGCGAAATACCCCCAACCCCCCAGCCAGACTTAGGATTCTGGGTTCACCAGTTAATAAACTATACATTTTTAGTTATTCTAGCTTGTCTAAAATATGTTTTCTAAATATGTCGTCAGCTCTTAGGCTATCAGTAGGTTGAAGCTAAGAAACAACGGCGAATGCAGATTGTGTGGGGCCCAAACGACAACCATTCGTGCTATATACTTTGGTACTGCCGATATTGAACATGAAGAATTAGTCTCTGTGAAGCTTGTCAAAGCTCTGGGGCTGTATGATGAGTTATAACTCGTTATAACGCAAGAAAAAGGGGCACACAATAGATTTGTAAGGTCGCGGTGTGAACCCCTTTCCCAAATATTCTACGTTCTAAATGTTTTAATTTAAAAAAGGGTGTTTTTTTTGGCTCCGATATCTTAGGAAACACTGTTTTTAACGATTGTTTTTCCTTAATGCTGGAATTCCCACAGGTAAGACACTAAAGTGGTTTTCGTTTTATTTTATTTTGATTCTGTTTCAGCACATTTTAGGTTTCAATCTGAAATCGATTTTTAATTCCATGTATTTCCCTGTCGTTCTACAAATGCTAGTTCTTATTCCTTGTTCGAAAATGCTGTTAAATCAACACACGCGAAGGGTTCATAATAATTAATTTTAACAGAATTAATTATAAAGAAACATGCGATTTATTATACTGAAATGTGTTTTACAGGGTGACTTGTTGAGTTTCGTTTATATTAAGAAATAAATTATTTGCTGCAGAATATAATACAAACAGACTCAACGCCTTTCAAACAAGTGATAGGAGTTTTAGAAAACTCCAAAGCTGCGAACTTTATCTTACACCGAGTTTACGCTTTTGTATGTAATTCCAGACGCTTGCACAATAATAACTGCGCAGCACATATTATTGATAGTGTGCGGTAGCCTTCACTATGTTCTATTCAGTGTAGTAAACTTGGCATTAAGTTGATAGAACACGTAATAATACGTCAACTGACCCCAAAGGATAAATCTTTGCTTGAGCAAGCCTTTGCTTCAAAGGACATGTTGTGCTGTTGGTCAAACTGGCATAATCGCTTTAGACCAGCATTCCTAATTTATATTATACAGGGCGTCTCTTAAATAAGTCACCACCTTCTACGTTTTAATCGTATCAGGGTGCATTACTAGGAACTCCAAAAAAACGCACTACGTATTTTTTGCTACGAGGGTTGTCTTTTATGTTTTGCATATAGAAACATGGAAGGTGCCTGTCAACATACAGGGTGGTCCGAACTGTATTCCGGAATCTTCGGCAGATAAAAATAAGTAAAAAAGTTTGTATAAGTTTATGTCCTAAAATGCTTAGTTTCGGAGATACAGGGTGTAGAAGTTTCATTTTTATTTAGATTTTTTCCAAGTAATTTCTGAAGTAACGTCAATATTTGGATGGAAATTGGTGTCTGGAAGTTTTTTGACATGAGAAATTTGATTTTGATGTCAATATGACTCCTACTTGTAGAGGGCGCCACCTACATATTTTTTAACTGCTTTGAAAAGTAATAATTTTTCATCCGTACTTGTACAAAACTACTGAGTGAAAAAATATATATTTCCGTGACTTTTTACGTAAAAAATGTCTCTTGGTAAAAATCGGTACGAGCAACCGTTCTCAACATATTTAGGAATGGAAATAGCGAGGGGTGTCTCACTCAGGTAAAAAATGTACACGTACTGCCAAAATATCCTTCCACTGCTAAGCGACTGCCAATGACTATGAAGAAGACTGCCTATGACTGCCATGTAATTATTATAGGCGACTGCCATAAGACTGCCAATGACTGCCAGCGACTTCCGAGAAAATGTACAGGTAATTCCAATAGTGAGACACCCCTCGGGAAATAGTCAATACATGTCATTATTGACAAAAAATAAACACCTTGAGTAGATAGTTATTTGACTGAAATAATAAATTTGGGAAATTTTTATTTTTTAAATTAATCATAATTTTTTCTGCGAAAAAATCAGGATAAAACTGTTTCTATTGAACTTTTGGCACAAAAACATTAAAATTTATGAGCCTTCAAATTTATGATTTCAGTGTAATAACTATTTAGTCAGCATGTTTAATTTATGTCAATAATGACAGGTATTGATAATTTCGATTCCAAATATTTCGAGAATTATTACTAGTAGCGATTTTTACGTAAAAAAACACTTTTTTACGTAAAAAAACGTCGTAAATATATATTTTTTTATTCAGTAGTTTTATACAGGTACGTGCGAAAAGTTATTAGTCTTCAAACCAGTTAAAAATATGTAAGGGCGCCCTATGTAGGAGTCATATTGACATCAAAATCGGATTTCTCATGTCAAAAAACTCCGAGACACCAATTTTCATCCAAATATTGACGTTACTTCAGAAATTACTGGGAAAAAATCTAAATAAAAATGAAACTTCTACACCCTGTATCGAAACTAAGCATTTTAGGACATGAATCTATACGAACTTTTTTACTTATTTTTTACTTTTTATTATCTGCAGAATATGCTGCCGAAGTTTCAGACCACAGATACAGTTCGGATCACCCTGTATATTAAATGTCAAAATTAACTATCATCTTAAGTTAACTTAACAGCAAAGTTTTAGACCGTTGTGTTTAAAGCTGTACCTAAATTGAATTTTTAAAGTTGACTGAGTCACTCGAAAATGGAATTAAGCCGAAAAATTTTTTCGCGCAAAAAAATGGTACTTAATTATTTAATAGAATTTATTAAAAAAAATACTTACCTGTGTCCCTAACTGGAATGTATCTCTAGTAAGGACATCTGTGGATTTCCTTATAGAATAGTACACTAGTTCAATTTCTCTTTCTAGCAAATAGCAACGTACGTGTTCTAACAAGCATCTGAGATAGCTTACGGAAAAGGTTTGCAGCTGGAAATTAAAAATTTATCTTTCAAGATACAGGCCGGAGCGGCAGTAGCTTTATTAAAATTTAACGATGCTTTAAAATTACTACTCCACTTCTAAAGTATTACTTGGACGAACGTCTCGTATTTATTGTGAGTAATTGCTTTGCAATTTTTAATATCTCCTTTCTTACTTGCTATCTTTTACATCGTTAAATGTTCATTATTTGATTTTTTAACCAGTAATTTACAGGGTGTAATTTAGATTGATGGCGCTGGACACAATTGAGGAAAAAATAATTCCTTTGGACATGCTTAACTTTCTTTCCTGTAGCCAATGACTAAAGAATACAAAGACACGTAACGCCCATATACGGACTGCAGCAGAATTTGTGACGTTAGACGCCATTTTCTTGGATGTAACGAATGAGTCATCAGTTGGTCATCAGCGACAATTTTAGCGATTTTTAATAGTTTGTGCGTGTATAAACTTGATTACACTGGTGATTAGTTGTCCATCTTTCAAGTGTAAAAGCTGCAGTGATAAGAAAGAGCCAGGAGTTACGTTTCATAGGTAAATAAACAGTCCACTCCACCTTTTTAGCGTTTTCTTATTGAAAACTAAAGTAAAGATTTCAGTTAACGTCTCCTTTTTGCTGCCAGGACTAATCTGGACGGGGCCTACTTTGTTTACGCGGAATCCGAACCGCGGTCCTCGGCCATATCATGGTCAGTGTCCTACCGACTTAGGAAGTATCTAAATTAACTCTTACTCACGAGATATCCGATTTCATCCTGCCTCGAACCGGCGTAAATGAGCAATATGTATCAATCAATAGATTCGAATATATAGAATAGAGTTTCGAACCGGTCACCCGTCCATCCACCAGTATCGCCTTGCGTCGCTTAACTTCGGTGTTCTAAGGGGAAGGGTGTTTCAACGTAGCTAGGCCTTTGCCTCTTTTCTTATGGAATTCGATAATTATTTTTCTGATATTATTTGTACTTGATATGTATATGTGCTATACGTCGATACTAGTTTTGTACCTTTTGTTAACATTTTAATACGTTTTTTTCGTAACTAATTAGTATGATACCACCGCATACACCATAAGCGTAGTCAAAACATTTTTTAAAAATATAAATATCTCTTCAAGCAGGTAAGTTAAGAAAAATATGTGCCACGGCACTGTTTGGAGGTATGGTAACAACTTGGTCTCGGGTGTTATTAGTCCTTGTATTCTTTAGTCATTGCCTGTAGCGCTTTAATTATTAAAGGTAGCACTGCAATGAGAATGAAAGGAAGAAGAAAGAATGGAATTTTTCGTAAAAGCATTCAAAATTTTGTACAATTTTTAAAAAGCAAAAATTAGCAAAAATTGTTCTTTCTGATATATACATAGGTCTAAAGGTGTTTTCCTTTTTTTGTCATTCAGTATATTTCATACTATACTGACCATGCTATAAACATCAACATGGCGTTCATAGTCTCCAAAATTAGTATGCCACGTTGTTTTTGTTGTTTCTTATTCGAAAAGATTGATGATGCTATTAAGAGTGTTCAGACCTATGTCACTTACGGCCTCATATATTTTTTTATTTCTCAAGGATATCTTCTAGACAAAAATACTATGTAATTTTCTTATTATGTTATCAACATAGCCATTAGTTACTAATACAATTTTTTATTAGTTAATGCCTAGTTCTAAGATAATTACGATTATATTTTTCGAAAGAAATAGGATAGCTCCAATTTTCGTTAAAAAATCATTTTCCATCAACATATGATACCAAATAAATAGAAAATGAAAAATATTTTTAAATGTAAAATAACAATAGCAACTGGCGATTTGTGTATGTTCGTTTGTATTTTTAACATAAATATTATTAATAAAGCTTAATAATTACTGAAAACGGTTTGTTTTAATACAATTTCTTGTATCAACAAGATCGTCAATTTTAACAGTGCCCACGCTTATTTTTACACTAAATTTAATTTATTAACATGGCAAAATATTAAATCATTATTTAATGGAGAAGCTCTAATTAATTGTAAAATGTTATTTTAGTTAGATAAATGAATATTTCTTTTTTAATCGGGTATTTATTTTAATAAATGTTAATTTATATTGCTTTACTGAGGATATTTATTTTTGAATTGTGATCGATTGTTTTATGATTTATGTCATTTAATTAACATAAAATGATCTCTAAAAGATGAGAGCTTCATTCTTTATAGGAAGAAAACAAGAATTTCGCCGTGCAAGCTTAGAAGTAATTTCATTAATCGGGGTGAATTATGAAACGCAGGGAATTTGCCGAGTTCCCAAAATAATCCCAAGAAATTTTTTATTGTTACGCAAAAAATTACTTTTTTACGACGTCTTTTCGTATATATTTTTATTTTTCTCGAGGAATCCGCGACGAATTTAATTTAGGAACACCTTAACTCAAATGATTATCATTTCTCTTTATTATTGCATAAAATAATCTATGGAAATGGCTTGATTCCTTAGAGAGAGAGAAGATTTAGAAAGTTTTAAATGAATTTTTGAAAGATTTCATTGACTCTTGAGAATATAGAAAGAAAAATGTCCTTTTGTTTCTTGTATTTTTCAAGTAGGCATAACAATAAAAGGCGCAGAGTAGGAGAGCCCTTTAGGTGGTAATTTAAAGGGAAGTAGAGAAATTTTCTTAAAAGTGCGAATGGCAGAGGACAAGGAGAAAAATCTCGAGATTTTCTTGAAAAATATCAAGTTACTCTCCACAAAAATATCCTTGGTTTTATATATCTAATATAAATTTAAAGAAATTCTTAAGCTATTTAACACCGACAAAATCAAAATACCTGTAACTATTTTGAGATCACTTAATAATTGACGTTAAAGTTTCATGGTTTATGTCTAACCCTACATTGCTATTTGTTATGTATCATATTAAATACAATTTCATATTCTAAAATGGGGGAATAACGAAATGCAAATTGACATACACTCAACGGCACGAAAAACAGGCACCTTAAAATTTTCGGGTATTTTTATAGTTAGTTGATCTTTTAAGCAATTTGTAGCTAAATTATTTGACTTTTTGCTTCTCTTGTCAAATTAAAAATGAAGGTTCCCGTCTGTCAATTATACGAGAGAAAACAATATATTAATATTTTGGTGAAAGTTTGAAAAACCCTGTGAAATATACAGGGTAAGTTTCCTACGATGTTCTCTATGGGCATCTCGGAAACTACTGGAAATAGAGAGTCGGTTAAATGGGGAAAGAATTGCAGTTCTGTGGGGTCATAAATATGCCCCTTTCAGATTTTTGAAGAAGTTCATGGCTTACTAGATATTTCGAAAAAAACAAATTTTGGCTATTTTAAAAATTGTCCCTAATTCCATTATAATCTATTTAAGACAAAAAGTGTTCAGATAAAAGTTGTAGATAATCACATTCCTAATGAGTTTGTGTTCTCCGATTTTTTCTAAAGCCTGTCATTTTTGACTTATGACACAAACATATGTTTTTTTAATGGAAACCATAGTTGGCCATGCCTTCATAAAAAGCGCCATTTTTTAAGCTTTTCAGCGATATAAGCTATAATATGTTTCTTTCACAAAATTACTGAATTATAGCCAATTCTTATCTTTCTTGGCTAATTTCACTTAGTTAGCCATGGAAATAAGTTTTCAATGGTGTTCTAATTTTGTTATGATTTATTACTTATAAAAAGACAAAATATATTATTAAACGGCTCTTTACAATTTGCATTACATAGACTAAAATTTAAAAAAAATAATATCACTATAAGTTATTTTAGAAAATTTTCAAAAAATCCGCAAATGTATCTTTTTAAAACTGAATTTCTAGCTATTCTCACAGAACGACCGGTCGACTTAATTAGACTTCTCCTGTTCCACCTCTTCGAGTGCCTCTCTCAATTCCAGTTCTTTTGTAAACCTTGTTTTTGACCATACCGCATAAAAAAATCTAAAATGGATAGGTCAAGTGACCGAGGAGACCCATGCAATCGGTCCACCTCTTTCTATCCCTGAGCCTACATAATTATGATATAAATAATTTTTTCAAAACATTTCTTTCATTGTGTGTGGGGGGGGGGGATGGGGTTGGTGTGTCATAATGAAAGTCATGTTGGAACCACTCTATTAATGCGCGAGTATTAATAAATTTACCTTTTCTAACATGTCTTGAAAACCTTTCTCTAAAAAAAACGTAAGTAACGTTCACCGGTCAACGGTCAATGTATCCTCGAAACTGTATGGCCAAGAAAAGTTGAACCAATAATCCTACACGCTTTTCTTCATTTGAAAAACTCTTATTTACAATTTTTGTTTATTTTAATTTACAAAGATTGAATGTGACAATTTCATATTTCTGAGAGCAACGACGATTGAACTTGATTCCATGGCTAACTAAGTGAAATTAGTCAAGAAAGATAAGAATTGGCTATAACTCAGTAATTTTGTGAAAGAAACATATAGTTTATATCGCTGAAAAGCTTAAAAAATGGCGCTTTTTATGAAGTCATGGCCAAAGATTGATCTAGATGATAAAATGAGTTTTAAGTTCCTTGCTTTGTTAACATCCTCGTTTAATTTAGAAAGAGATATTAAAAAGCCAAATAATTTAGCTACAAATTCATCAAAATCAGTCTACTAGAATACAATATATAAAACTTGTGCCCGTTTTTCATGCCGGTGAGTGTATAATGTAATCCGTCTAAATTTTAAACGGTACCGTTTGATTAATTTTGTCGTTAAATATGATTATTTCTCGTTGTAGTTGGAAATATTGACAGTTATAGTTCCAAACTAATGGAAAATAGTACCTGAAGCTATATTATTTTCCTCTGAATTGAAGGAAAAGCGTTTTCATCTCTGGAAAATCTGGGATTGTGCTAAAGAGAATCGTATTTTAGCGCGTTTTGAAAGGAAGAGGTCGTAAATCTTTCGATTTTACTTACCGCAGCGAGGAGAAAATCGTAGTTACACATGCAGAGATTTTTCAGTTTGATAATATCGCCACTTTTTAGCAAATGAATCCAGGCTTCCTCCACGTGCCTTAGCCTGTAAGTTACATCTTTATGCAAGGTCGATTGGAATGGCGTTTCTTTTATCTCAGACAGCAATGGTGCTGAAATATAATTAAACAAAAAAAAATTCCCATTATGTTATCCTTAAAGATATTTATAGACATTAGGGTGTTTCAAAATAAATAAAAAAAAATCTTATGGTGTTGAAAAGTGTATTTAGTGTTAAAGTGAAAGTATATTTAAAAACAAAAATTTTGGCGCCTAGCAGAACCCTTAATATTAATACACACACCGGAAAAGTCTAGGGATATTACAATTTTATCCAGCCATCGTCAGTCATTTTATTATTTGCATTTCTGATATAATAAAATTAAAATAAACAAATAGTTTACAGGACGTATTGGAAATAAAAATGAGAAATCTACCGAAGTTTTCAAATTTACCTTGATTTTTATTGAACTCAAAAAAATACACACATTTTTTTTATTCCAACCTGCGAATTAAAAAAAAAAGATAAAACCATTTTTACTTAATAAAGGGTATAGCCTCCTCTATTGTTCATTACAGCCCTACATCGTCTCTCCATGCTCCTGATCAGGTTGTCGATCTCTTCCTGAGGTACAGCCTGCCACGCTGCATTCACGGCCCGAACCAGATCCCTACGAGTTTCACGAGGCATACCCATTCTCAAAATTCTTCTTTGGACCGCGTCCCATACGTGCTCGATGGGGCTGAGGTCAGGAGATTGTGCCGGCCAGGGTAAGATGTTTAATTGATGAGCATTGATAAACTCACTACCACTCTGGCTGTATGAGGCCGTGCATTGTCATGTATGAGAATGAAGTTTCTCCCAAAATCATTGGCATATGGTAACACGACAGGCTCAAGAATTAAATCACGATATTTGGTTCTTGTTAGAAACCTTTCAAGAAAAACGAGATCGGTTTTTCGGCCTAACTGGACTCCTCCCCAGACCATAACTGTTCCACCTTGATAAGGGTGCACTTCCTGAACATGATCCAACCGAATAAAATTTCCCAGTTCTCTCCTTACCCTAAACCTTCTCGAATCCGGATGAATTCCAAAGCGTGACTCATCCGTGAAGAGAACATTGGCCCATTGTCCATTCGACCACTGAACATGATCTTGAGCCCACAAATATCGTACCTCTCGATTTCCTCTCGTTAAGGGTTGAACTCTCCAGGGTCGTCTGCTTCTTAAGTTGACCTCCCTTAATCTATTGCGAACAGTGTCATGACTAACGGTTACATTATGTGTTTCCTGGAGAATTAAACTAAGCTCTGGTGCTGTAAGAGTCGGTCGGCGTCGAGCATTTAATTGTAAAAAATGATCTTGCTGAGGGGTAGTAATGTGATGTCGCCTTGTGTGCCTTTCAGCAACATCACCACTTTCACAGTTGCGTGCACTTAATCGCGATATTACACTTTGCGTTGTATTTAATGCTCTAGCTACGTCGATTTGGCGCATTCCAGCTTCAAGCATACCCATGGCCCTTAGCATTTCGTCTCTGTTAAGATGTCTACGCTCCATAAGGTCGTTTAATACTAAACAGAGTTATTTGAATGAATTCTGGCCAGTTATCATAAAAACATAGCCAGTACAGGTTAAATTCGAACAATTGATGCTAGGGTGCTTTTTATACATTTGACAAAAAATGCACAAGCACTTCTGCAAATATCCCAAATTTAAAAATAACTAGTGTGACTACTTCGTTTCAATCGAAGTAGAAAGAATCGGCCTACAAATATGTGGTTGTTTATTCAAAACATTTATTTTTAACTTTAATAAAATGATATCCCTAGATTTTTCCGGTGTGTGTTATTAAGGTTTGTCTCAATTTATTTATTGTTTTTCCATATAAAAAACAGGGATTTTTTTTATTTTTGAATTTTAATAATTTCGAAATGAACACTATAAAATTTCATATGAAAAGTCGTTTTTTAACGTTTAAACATTTATTTTTAACTTATTAATTTTAAATTATTAATGTTAAACATTTATTTTTAACTTTAATAAAATGATATCCCTAGATTTTTCCGGTGTGTGTTATTAAGGTTTGTCTCGATTTATTTATTGTTTTTCCATTTAAAAAACAGGTTTTTTTTTATTTTTGAATTTTAATAATTTCGAAATGAACACTACAAAATTTCATATGAAAAGTCGTTTTCTAACAGATATAGGTAGATCTGATTTTTTTGATGAGAATCAAAGAAACTAAAACTAAAAGTTATATTTAAAGAAAGTTGTTGATACTGAAATCTATCCTTCTTTTTTATTTCTTAGCTAACCAAAACTTTTGTAATTTGTGATGATATAATTTCAACCGCTATTTATTATAAACAGTTCTTGGCTTAGTTTTAATTAGCCAGTAGGTAAAGTTGCGACTTCTTAACTTTTTTGGCTCGGATTTATATTTTCTACTACGAAATATCTATTTTTGATCTAGATTTCTGACAAATTCAAGGAACTGCGTTTCCTTTTTGAACTATCCTCTTTCTGTAAGGAGATCCAGCGTAAGAATTTTAAAAAGAAAATCGAAATTTATCGGTATAGTTGGTAATACTGTATTTTTCTTGTAGTTCTTTTTTCACTTGACAATAATAAGGGGATTTTTTTTCTTTTCTCAATGTAGCGTAGAGAGAAAAAAAATATACGTTTATTTTCAGTCAGTGAAGTTTAGGAATATAGTTAGCTATTTAAAGGGAGGCTTTTAAAAAAGCTGCTGAATTTGGCTGCGTGCCATTTAGCCTGTGTAACATTTCACGGCATAACTTTAGTTGGGATTTACGCGACAGGAACGACAAAACGTTAAGTAGATCAATTAGTCACATTAATCATTTTATAACGTTGAGTGTCATGAGCTTTCCGTTGAATAATTATTCCGACTGGGCAAATTACCTCAGTTTGTTCTAGTCAAAGTCAAGATTATTAAATATATTTTATAATGAAATATATAATGTTAATTCTTATTGGTCTTGAATTTGTCATCATATTATAGTTCTTGATCTTAAAATGATCCTAATCAAAAATCGTTCGAAACAAAATTTCGAAAAATTTATTTTATCACAAAACCATCAAATTTCAGATCTTCAATGTTTGTATATTCTAAATTTACATAAAATTTCTTAAATATATAAAAATTTTCATATTATGTCCCCTATTTTTCTATGGCCCCTGAATATCAGTAAAAAATTGCCATATGTGGTCATTTTTTCGATTTTTTTTTCATACATATAGTCGTGAAAATTGTCGAATTTTGTCATGTCACCGATTTTGTTAAACCTGCTGTCATTTACTAATTGAACGGCTTAGAATAAGAAAATAGAGGCCATTGTAGTTTTACGAGGATAGTAATGAATACAAGGGATGTTTTATATAACCATCATCATAAATAGCCCAAAAACAAGAGTCCAAAAATTTTCTTTTCTCTCAAAACCAAGGTACCTAACCCTTTAATGGCGTATATAGTCTAAATCTACATAAAATTTCCTACAAATGCTGAAGTTTTCATAATTATATATATGGCTATGTTTACTATCTTCCTAAGGCCTGTGAAAATATTTAAAAATTACCAAAAATGGTAATTTTTTCGACTTTTTCCATGTTTTGTCATGAAAATTGGACATTTTCTTCAGGTCACCAATTCTGTTAAAACTGCTGCTATTTACTAATTAGAAGGTGTAAAATAAGAAAATATAGGTATTGTAGTCTTACGAGAACAGTAATAGATATAGGGGGAGAATGGTTCAAGAAATTAAAATTCTCACAAGCCCAGGGTACTTAAGGCTTTAAAGGTGTATATGCAGTGGTGGCCAAAAGTATGGAAACTTTTTACTTTTTAAAATATCACAGAAAATATTGCTATGCTTAAACTCTCAGGAATATAAATGAACAGCTTATCAGCAAATAAAAGTATTCCAAAAATTACACAGCGAAAAAAATCTGTTTAGCAGTTTTTGTAGGAGAACAATAGATTTCTTGTGGCCAAAAGAAACCAATAATATCAAAGAAAAATAGGATGGCCCGCTTTAAATTTGCTCAAGATCATCTCACCTGGTCTTATCAGAAATGGAATACTGTACTGTTTAGCGACGAAAGCAAGTTTCTACTGTTTGGTAGTGACGGGAGACGTTATGTCCGAAGACCAAAAGGTACACGGTACAGCCATAAGTACCAGATGCCCACAGTAAAACATGAGGGTGGGAGTATAATGGTATGGGGGTGTTTTTCTCGCTCAGGTGTTGGTCCTCTTGTTAAAATTGATGGGATAATGGACCGTTTTTTGTACAAAGACATATTGGAGAATAATATGCTGCCTCATGCTGATGAAGAAATGCCACTCAGATGGTTGTTCCAGCAAGACAATGATCCCAAGCACAAATCTCGGTTTGTTCAAAATTAGTTAAATGAACATAATGTTCCACTATCTGTCTCCGGATCTTAACCCCATAGAATGTTTATGGGACCATTTGGATAGCAAAATTCGAAACCATTCTATTTCAAATAAAAATGAATTATGGGAAGTGCTAAAAACTGAATGGGCGTCCATTTCCAGTAAAGACTGTACGAGATTGATCGATTCGATACCACCACGAAGATGTAGAAAAGTAATTAATTCAAATGGATATTCCACTAAATATTAGTATTCCACTAAATTTTTATATTATCTTGAATTTTAATAAACATTCTTCTTAAGTTTCCATACTTTTGACCAAGAAAATATTCATAATTTTTTATATGTTTTTTGATAGCTGTAATTTTTTATTAAAATGTATTAGGTTTTGCAGGAAATTATTTGTAGGTCACGATTTTATAAGTCGTTTTATTTGATATTTTAATTTCTCAGCATAAATGACAAATTAAAAAAGTTTCCATACTTTTGGCCACCACTGTATATTCTTAATCTACATAAAATTTCCAACTAATTCTGAAACATTCATAATTTTATGTTAAAGTATATTATTTTTCTAAGCTCGTGAAAACAAGTTTCATACCAAACATAAAAATCTGTTTCCCATATTTTTTTAATTTTATTATAATATTTACTTGTTATATTGGACAACCCTGTAGTATTAACAATAAAATTTACTGACATTTCGTGTTTTTATTGGGGCAGTGCAGTAAAACAGTCGTAGCATTATTTTTGACAGTAAAGAGCAACGTAAAATTTAAAAAATAATACAACATTATATCTAATAAATAAAAGTTTAATTCTATTATTTATGAGATAAAAAAAAAATGTAGTTTCTGAATCGTTTATTTACCTGGTTCTCCTTCGGACGCCTCATCGTCACTATTTTCTTCTAAAAATTCGCTGAAAAATAACGTGACCATTTCCCCATGGATATTTTTGGTTGTTTCGGCGTTTGGCAAATATCGACTTTTTGTTAACTCTTTTATCATAACATGCTTCCATTCGATCAGCAATTTTCCGCTCATGATTTTTTCACGTATTAAAGGTGCTACAACAATACAAGCCACTTTAAACCTGAAACGTTTTCAAAAAACTTTCTATTCTAGACAAAAATTACTAATTATCACATTCCAAAATTTCTTGACATATTTTTTAATTGTATATCTGTAACTATACAGGGTTGTTCACCACATACGACACGGAGTATTGTAGCTAACGATGAGATTTTTACAAATTTTAAGTTTTGGGTTCGTTGAGGGACTATTAGAGCTACAATTTAGAAATAATTTTACAAGATACAGAGTGTCCCAAATAAATAAAAAATATCAAAGTTGTATTTTTTTAAATGGAACACCCTGTATATTATTAAATTTCTAGTTTCTACAATTAAAATAAAGGTAAATTTGATTAAGGTTTATTATATTTAAACCTTACCGCTTTTGAAATATTTTCAATTTTGTGAAATTGCAGTAAAAATTTTAAGGCTTCATTTCTCCAAGGGTATCAAAGTTTTTAATACTAAATATTTACTGAAGTTTATTTATTGTTCAGTTATTGTGTTGCAATAATAAAAATTATACTACCTTACACAGAGTGTCTAAAAATTTATTTTAAATAATTATTAGCTTTAAACGGCAAAAACTTGTTTAATTTAAATAGAACACCCTGTATATTTTTCGAGAATCAGATGCAGAATTAAATTGTCTATCAAATTATGTTATACCATTTTTTACCTGTCTCTTTAAGTTTCCGTAGAAAATGCATTTTCTTGTAATTTAGAACTTATTTATCAATATACCCATGGAATATTGACATTTTAGATTATTTTTAAAGATGTACCAAATTTTTAAAGAGTACAGATACTAATATTGTCGATATAATTCGTTTATTTCGTTAAAAATAAAAAAAACACTGTTTAAATATTTGTTAAAAAGGATCAATTAATATGATTCCAGTATTCAAACTACATTAACTGACTGTTTGCGTTGATTAATAATAATTGCTCCAAATACTAAAAAACTGAATTTTGTATGGGTATTAGACAGTGTGATAAAAAGTAACACCTTAAAAATGATATTTCATTTTTTAATAAATGTTTATTTATAACCACAGAGACTTTAATTTTGATAACTTATTATTATATTTATTTCTGACTCAAATCCATATTTATTTAGAATAATTTATTAACGAACACACAATTAAGTATGTAATTAATTAGTATATGGGCGGAAATAATGGTGTTATATTTAATTAATGGTATACTCTTTTATAAAGATTTAAATAGTTTTCTTTTTGCATACAAATGGGCTAGTAATATTATCGTATAATACACAGAGTATTTCAGCAATATTTTTTTCAAGAACATACAGGGTGTCAAAAAATAAGGTGCCAAATTCAGATAAAAGTAAAACAAATAGTTCCTATGAGCATGTGCCTTTAGATGCAGCTAGAATACAGTTTAAAGTTCAGAATTAAACACAGAGCTGAAACTTTCTCAGATAGAATTAAACAGATCGTCTCATTTCCAAATATCAGTTTTAATTTTGGTACACCAACTACCAATTTTCTGCGAAAGTTTAATAGGTTTGGATGTAACCTGAGACATGTTTCAAATTTTTACGCCAAGCCGCAACAATCTTCGCCCAAGTTAGTTTGCCGAACTTTCCCAGACTTAAAATAGGGAAAATTGTTCCGGAATTATCCAGAAGTTGAGTTATATTGACCTGACATCAAAGTTTACCATGTTAAAACGAACTACAGATTAATTGAATAATAATAGGAAATGTATTTGTCGGTATTAATAAGAAAATGGCACTTTTTTGTTATTTTTATCTTAAAAACTAATTATATTTATATTTTATTCTAAAAAAGTGGAAGATTTTGTATTTTCTCCAAAAAAAAAATTCAAAATATTTAAATTTTTGGTAAAAATGTATAATATTTTGATAATATGGCAACAGAGTAAATTTTGAGAAACGAAATTTTTGATACCAATTTAGTGGATCTGAAAATTTAAGAAAAAAATATTTTTTAGAATTTTAAAGTAAAACAACGTGTTTATCGAGATTCTACCAGCCAAAATATTTGCAGTTGTTTAAGACCCACCCTGTATGAACTATAATAAAGATTTTTCGTTGTTTTCTCTGTAATGAAAAAAATTAAATTAAGCAGCGAACCTGTAAGTTTTTTTATGACGGTATAATGCAAGCCTTGGGGGTAATTTAAATTTAAACCACGTAAAATTGCTATAAATTATCCAGAAGTTAAGTTATATTGGGGAGACGTGAGAAGTTTTTACGGTACACCCGAATTTTGATTAATTGAATCAACCTCAAAGTTTTCCAGAAACTTTGCAAATAAACTGAGTTATGCAAGAAACGTTATGCAAATAGCTATTCAAAGGCTTTCTAATAATAATTCATGTAATTGGGAAGGGTTCCCGCCATCTTAGCTACGTACTGTCGATATAAATTATAATCATAAATAGACTAGTTCCCCTTTTTTCCCATTCACTGTACAGGGTGTCCCAGGCTGAGCGTGCAAGTTTCTATAGAACTAAGATATCTAGATTGGAGATTTTTTGCACATTACTGTGTGTCACAATGAGATAGATCTATCGATTGAAAAAGCCATCTTATCTGATAGTCAAGCAGCGTTAAAGGCGATCAACTCAGTATCAATCAATTCGAAATTGGTCAAAGAATGCATAGAGAAGCTGAATAAATTAGGCAAAGAAAACAAAGTCCTCCTACACTGGGTGCCTGCTCACCAAGGGATAGAAGGCAATGAAAAAGCAAATAATCTAGCTAGGAAAGGAGCGAACACTCCACTAACTGGACCAGAACCGTTCTGCTTTCCAAGTGGGAACCAACTCAAGGCGGAACTCAAGAACTTGGAAGATTCCATCCGCAACCTGGAATGGAAATCTTGTAATGGTCTAAGACACTCGAAGAAGTTTCTGAGGGCTTATGATCAAGAAAAATCACAGACCTTCCTGGGTCTGAGTAAGAACAATCTTCGGATTGTCACGGGGTTTTTAACAGGACACTGTCTCCTCAATGGACACCTCAGTAGATTGAAACTAAGAGGAAACGGCGAATGCAGATTCTGTGGGGAAGATGGGGAAACACCAGTACACCTCATCACTGAGTGCGCCGAGACGACAACCATTCGTGCCATGAATTTTGGTACGACTGATATTGGAGATGGAGAACTACCCTCTATAAAACCGTCCCAGATACTGGCTTTTGTCAAAGCCCTGGGACTGTATGATGAGTTATGATTCAAGAAAGGGGGACACAATGGATCTGTAAGGTCGAAGTGATTAACCCCCCTCCCACTCATTCTAAATTCTAATTCTAAAAATCGATTGAAAATATTTTCAATATGGCGGCACTTCCGGAAATACCGGAAGGTGAAAACAACTTTCTTATTTTAAATGGACACAACCGTTTTTTATTATATATTTAAATTATCTATAAAATTTTATGGGTGTAAATTTTTATATCAATCACTCTAACATTAACCGTTTTTGAGGAAAAAAAAATATTTAAAATTTTTGGAAGAAAAACACTGCCTGTCAAAAAAAATGTACAGCCTAAACTTCAAATTGTGGTTATCTGATTCAAAAATTAAATTGTTTGAATGTTATAGACCTAATATTGGCTGTAGCTGTCATCCTTATTTCCATGATAGCTATGGCCAGATTAAAAAATTGTCATAAATCATTTTTTTCCACGTGGAAACCCACCTTTTTTATTTCACTAGTAAAAAGGTTGTTTGATTCATTACTTTTTGATTATGCATGTTTCTATACCTAAAATAAATCGTTTTTAAGTTATTTAAGATTTATTTTTAAAGTTTTTAGCCAGTAGCCTATGACTTTAAACGTCAAGCGATGTAAAATAATATATCTGACCATGTCACATTGCGACACTGCCAAAAAATCAATATGTCATTGATCGCCATTTCCACGCCAACTTTGCACCGTTTTTTTTCGATCATATGGTATATTATTAATTAACAACTATTAGATATCACTAAAATACGATATATGTTTTTATAAATTCACTTTATAAAGTTTTAGCAGCAGTATATACAGGTTGTTAATTTGTTTATTACTCGCGGCAAGAGCTTTATGGTTGAAATATGGCAACCTCGGCCCGCTCGTCGAGAGACGACGAACAGTGCTTCGAACATATGGCTCTAGAGGACAAAAATCCAAAACTTCTCTTTTATTGTAAGCAATTTATCCAAACTAGGTTTATTTGACACAAATGATGAGTACTCTCATTGTACTAAATGATGATGTTCTTAGTCCCACGTTTATGAAAAAAAAATCTTATAAATAATAATAATGTTGGAGCTGTGTTCCATCTAAGCAAATAATAAGTTATAGTATGAAAACGGTGTAAGTATTAAATAAATTTCTGTGATAAAAAGAATTGAAATAACATTAGAACATGATTCCTACAATAAAAGCCTAATATAAGATAAAAATGTTTTTCTTTAATGAAAAGAAACATTAATGCTATATTTAATTAAAAAAAAACTTAAGGTACTATAAATTTACTTTAGGACAACAAAATGCATAGATCGTAACTACTCTGATTCAGAAGAATCACTGCTGACAGAATCTTCCAAATTTATAGTATCCAAATCGCAGGTAGATGAAATATCCTCACATATAACATATTTCTGTACATCATTTTTCATAATATGTTACTTTTTCGCCTTGTTACTGTTCTTTTTGTTGGTATGAGGGGTTCGGATGTTAATAGTTACCTCTTTAATAGACCATATCAATATATTATTTTTTCGTTTTCTTGGGTATGAGGTTTTATAATAAATTGAAAGATGGAAACTTTTTTATGCGACGTTTCGCTTCAAAATAGTGTACTTTTTCAGGCACAAATGGTCTCATTTGACTGGAAGGTTCATCAATACCTAATAAGGAACACATTTTTTGAAATACAAATAATTTTGAGTTCTTGTCCTTATGATCAAGCCAAGTATTAACCAGATCGGCATTGCTTATCAATTTTACTC